TTGTCTATCGGTATGTTACTTGCCCGAGATTTGATCGTCGGTATCCCGATACCTTGTTGAATCTCGTTACCGGCAAGTCTCTTTACTCGTTCCGTAACACATCATCCCGTGATCAACTCCTTGATCACATTGTGCACATTATGATGATGTCCTACCGAGTGGGCCCAGAGATACCTCTCCGTCACACGGAGTGACAAATCCCAGTCTCGATTCGTGCCAACCCAACAGACACTTTCGGAGATACCCGTAGTGCACCTTTATAGCCACCCAGTTACGTTGTGACGTTTGACACACCCAAAGTATTCCTACGGTATCCGGGAGTTGCACAATCTCATGGTCTAAGGAAATGATACTTGACATTAGAAAAGCTTTAGCATACGAACTACACGATCTTGTGCTATGCTTAGGATTGGGTCTTGTCCATCACATCATTCTCCTAATGATGTGATCTCGTTATCAACGACATCCAATGTCCATGGTCAGGAAACCGTGACCATCTATTGATCAACGAGCTAGTCAACTAGAGGCTTACTAGGGACATGGTGTTGTCTATGTATCCACACATGTATCTGAGTTTCCTATCAATACAATTATAGCATGGATAATAAACGATTATCATGAACAAGGAAATATAATAATAACTTCTTTATTATTGCCTCTAGGGCATATTTCCAACAGATAGTTGCAAGCTAGAGGTTTTCCACTAGCTAGCTAAACAAAAAGATGAGAATGCTGCAAGACATTGATATCATTGAGAAACCCCGGCAAACCAAAGAAACAACGCCATATCCATAGATCGTGTGATGCCACGACTTCAAGCACAATGGTAGGTTTACGTTTATGGCTGGCGTATTCCCCTGCCCAAGCCACCGGGCAGTTCTTCCACCTTCAATGCATGCAATCAATACTACCAAGCATGCCCGGCCATCCCCTCTCTTCGTTCATCGCCATAAACTTCCTTGTGTCCTCCTTATTGGATCTCGAAGATACTCTGGGCCAAAAACCCGGATCATTGTATTTGCAAACATCTGCATGAACTTGATGGATGTATCTTCGCCAATGCGAAGATATTCATCGGCATAGTCGGTGGGAACGCCATATGCAATCACTCTCATCGTTGCCGATATTTTTTGATATGCACTGAATCTAAGCAAAAGGGTGGCATTCCTCTGGCGAGTGAAAAAATGGCAATTTGCCTAACAAGCTTCAGCGATGCGAACGAAAAGAGGTCTACACATTCGATATCGCCTACGAAGAAGGTGAGGCGGATATGTCGATACTTCGGTGGAGTAGTCCTTCATGAGCATCTTGTCGCTGAGAGCTCGATTGCGCGAAATGCGCCGCCCAACCATGGATTCGCGACATTTTTTTGGACCCCTTTTCAAATTTGCCCATGAGATGCAACAATGCTAGGTTGTCGACATCGTCGTCCAAGATCATCTCTTCTATGTCTGGATCGTCCGGCAAAGAGACGAGGACGAACTCCAATCCATCTAAAACATTGCATGCCCGTGAATTTCTCCAGAATCTCACCAATCGAAACTAAATCAAAAGATCAGCGAGCATTGAACATACTTCCCCCGAAGCAAAGTCGGCCCCCCGTTTTTTCTCCCCCGTCGGCCGAAGCAAAGACGGCGAAACCCCTTCCTCCGGCGCGCGCAGCTGTCCCTCAGGCAATTCCAAGGCCCACCGATGCTGGAAACAACTGGATCCGCGAGATACAAGACTGCGCGCCAAGCTTCCGGGCGGATCCATGGCGCCGGTGGCGGCCGCTAGCCCGCAGAGACAAATGGGCACCCCCCCCCCCCGACTTCCAAATTTGGTGCAATAGATGCGGCACGGGGGCAACGGAGCTAATGGATGGCGCGGGGCAGCCGGGTGCACCAAGAACCGACAGGGAGATGCGGCGGCAGCAGCGGCGAGTGAGGCGGGAACGGAAGCGGGCAAAAATGGCCTTTGTGCCAAGGATATGAAACACCAAAAAGAGGGGTGGCTCCCGTAGATATGGCGGAAACGGCCCGCAGAATGCAGGATCCCGCAAAAACAATTACATGATGGCTAAATTTTGCGGGGTCTATTCGAGCCGGAAAAATCGCCCATGTCCGATATATCGTCAGTTATTATTCGGGATGGCCCGTTTTACAGAATCTGCTAGAGATGTTGTTAAGCGAAGCTCCGAAAGACACAGACTTGAGGCATAATTGATGAGCAACTATTTCTCTGTTAACTTTGGCACCTTTCTGTCGACATTCAGAGCTCCCACTCACTCCTTGGTACCTCTTGCACTTATACCAATTTCAACAATAAGATACGATTGGTTTCCAACAAAAATCATAAGTTCTCAAGCAAGGAAGGTGAATGGGTTGTCCGTCGTTCAGCTTCAAGGACAACAAGTGGCCTCCCTACATCCTCGACCTCACCGCCTCCTCTGATCCAACAAGATGGTATGTACCAGCAAAATCAATGGAGAGATCAAGATGGTGAAGCATAGGTCCAAGCGTATAAAATGGGTACTCTGATGTATTCACGGTTCGACATCAACAACTAACAAATCATGCACTAAGGTACAGTACCATTCTGGAATAATGTCCTTTGTGTGGAGATGTAACAATTATGTTTGCTCCTGATAGAAGTCGGTAACGCCAGTGAAAAAGCATACAACAAAACCTTTCTCAGTTACAACTGCTACTCGTTGAGTAACATATTTCTCATAATAAGACACATCGATTTGAAAAGTGCATGATTCAAAAAAAAAGTTCATACATTTTAGGAAAGTTCCTCAATTTGAAAAAAGATCATCGATTTGAAAATAAATTTCACAAATTTGAAAAAGTTCATTAATTTTTTTAAAGTTCACAATTTTTTAAAAAAATATTTTGTCAATCTGAAAAATAGTTCCTAAATTTTGAAAAAAGATCATGAACTTGAAAAAAAAGTTCATCGAATTTAAAAATATTTCATCGAATCTGAAAACGAATCATGCATTTTTTAAAATAAAAAATAAAAATAAAAAGAATAATGGAAAAAGGAAAAAGGAAAAAGAAAAAATAAAGAAAAACTAAAGAAAACCGGTCCAGGAAAAAACAAAATCAAAAAAGAAAGAAAGAAAGAAACCGGCTGGGAAGCTTCCCAAACCAGGAAGAGGTCTCTCCCATGGCACCCATAGATGGGCCAGCCCAGGTAAGAGCACCTTCAACGCTAATTAACGAATTGCAGGTGAACGGCGCTGAAGGCACCAAATAGGAAATACGGTTCATTTAGGAGGAGTTACCAGCGACCCATGGACCAGTAAAATATATAACGTGCAGGAAAAAAACGTCTAGGCCCAATTCACTTTTTTTTTCAAAAAATTGTCATCAATAAATTTGCCATGTAAAAAATAATAGTGCATAGTAAGTTCAAAAAATGCCATGTTTTGAAAACCAAAAAAGTGTGAAATTGCTATGAGACTATATGAAACACTATTAAAAAAGACCGTAATATCTAGAGGAAGTTCCCATCGAACGTGTCGTTCGGTAGGGGTTGGACATGCCAGCGTGGTGGGAGATTGAGCGAACTATTTTCTTTCTATACGACACCAAGCTTGCCCTCCAAGGATACGTTTGCTCTGCCCATAGGCCTAGTTAATTTTCGTTTTTTAGAAGAAAAAAATGCCAACATAAAAAAGGCCGTAAAATTATTGCCATGATCTGAATTATGAAAAACTGCCATCCTCTAGATATTTAGCCACCAGATCCTGGTATGGAAAGGCTATACACATCCAACCGCACCTACAAGATTCTGCATTCTTTTCAGTAACAAATTGGAAGATGATTGTATCCATATAAGTTTATTACGAAGTATCACCTTTTGCGTCGCGGGGACAAGCAGAAAAGTGGGAACCCTAACCCTCTTGCCCTGTATCAAGGAAACAATTTGTAGCAAGTCAAGCAACCATGGATTGGTGTGATTTAGTTACCGCAATATGTCCCAAATGCATATTTAGGATTAGGCACAAAGAACTACAGGAATAGGATGACCCAAGATGCTTTTGCATAGAGTGAATTACAGAGAACCTACAACACTTCCTATTTTAACAACTGCGCCGTTAATTCATAGTATGTAGAGGGAAGACAACATAAGAAACTGACAAAAACAATACATGTACAAGACCATTAGAATAACCGTACTCTGCAAGTTTCAAAATACGACACGTGAGTGTATGGCAAAATGCATAAAAATAAAAAATAATCCTGACTGTATACTACCATGCTACATGATGATAGGTTTGAAGCTTCTTACCAAAGCTGAGAACACCTTTGCAGCAGCAATTAAGTCTTCAGTCTTACCACCAGTGCAAGCATCATTATAGACTCGGTCAATCTTGATATCCTTGCATTCTCTTGCTGGAGCACGGTTGTCAGGGGAATGTGGCTGCACATTCATGGAGATTGCATCATTACATAAGAGAACTAACAAAAAACAATACAGAGATTGCAGAAGAGTGGAATATGTTAACAAACCTTGGCAACTACTGGCTCCAATTTAGACACATCAAACTGGCAGACACCGTAAAATCTGAAAACAAAAAGTCACTCAAATAAGAGAACATTTTTTAATCAAAAGCTTGTGCATATGCCAAAGCACCATTCATAACATGACACAAAGATCAAATGATGACAAATCTAGATGGAAAACAAAGGCTGGCAGCAGCATTTGAATTCTAATACACAAGACATGACAAAATATGGGCAATATTTTGCGAATGTCAACCACAGAAGCAGAGAAGCAGATGTCGAGTCCGAGTATTTCTCAAAATATGTAGTACTGCAGAGTTCCAGATTCCGATTCAGAATGACACACGTTTAATTGATAAAAATCCAATTTGACATCTTTTTCTATTTCTTTTCTTTCAGCAGCTCATTTCCTATAATCAATCCAACCAAATCTTGTCCAACGAATAATTGGACAATGAGATGAGAAGTACTCGTATAATCCACTTCGAATCGGTAGGCAGGTAGCTATCTAAACTCCTTCCGGAGAAAGTATCTGCCAGGCTTCAGTGCCGCACCGCCGGCAGGCCCGTTCTTCACGGCCAGCTCCGCCGGCGCCGCTGCCGACTCCTCGCGCGGCTGCCGGAGCAGGGCCTGCTGCCACTGGGCGACCGCCGACTTGGCAACGAAGAGGTTGGTGATGTCCCTGAGCGGCACCCGCCTCCGCGCCCTCCCGAGCCGCTTCAGCTTGCAGCTCCTGACGGCTACTACGCCATGAGGACGGGCGGCGGCGGCGGTGGCAGGCGGCAGATTCTCCTTGTCGGCGCGGTCGACTGCCATCTCGGAGAAGAGAAGAGGTGCCTGCCGCTATCGGAATCCGGCCGGCTCGGTGCTGTGCTAGGCGGCGAGGTGGCTGGGACTGGGAAGATCTTCCATGTGTACTTGTAGCGGAGGTAGGTAGGAGGGAACGAGAGGGAGGGGGATGAAAAGATTTGAGTTTTCGGCGGAGGGTCTGCCTTTCCTGCCATTTTTGGTCGGAAGGCTCCAAGAGCCAGCGGATCTTGAAAATTTTCGCGAAATGTTTGGTGGAAATCGGGATTCGAGGCGGGGAGGAGCGCGCTGGAAACTTTGGCGCGGGGCTTGCGGAGGGAGATTCGAACTTTTTTTCCCTGATTTCACACGGGCCAATCCTACAGTTGGGCCGTCCCACGTACGCGATTCGCGTGATCCTTCGCTGCAGTTTCTTGCGGGTTTTCTTTTCCTTTCTTCTGTGGTTTTTTGCTTCTGGTTTTTCAGTGGTTTAATTCTGGTTCTTTCCTTTTTCTGTTTTGGTTCCTTTTCTGTTTTTTTATTTCTTTTTTTTGTCATTGTATATTACAAAAAGTCCATTGTATTTGAAAAATGGTCATGCTGTATTAACAAAAAGTTCAGCATGCATTGATATTTTTTGAATGTCCTATTTTGTTTTTAGAATTTTCTGAACACATTAAAATGTGCTACCGGAGTTCGGTGCAATGTGGCACCATATATTCTCCCCCTTTTCTGAATGTGTGTAGCTATTAATAAATAAACATGACACTGTTTTGCTTGTGAGTAGATCCACCACGTGTGTTAGGGCATCTCTAGCAAATCCGGTAAGGCGTGTTCCGCAAAATTCGTTTATGGGAGGCCTGTAAAAAAATTACGGTACGGCGAGGCCTCTGGCGGAACAGTTCCCCTAAACTCGTCCCGTAATATTTTTTTTGCGAGGCGCGTTTAGAGGATCTGTTCTGCGCCAGAGGCCTCGCGGTACTGCATATTTTCTGGAGCTTCACAAATTCTTGATTTCCAACAATATAAACTGAAAAAAAATCACAATATCACTTAAACATATGAACACAATTGATCCGAAAGGCAATTCACAATACAACCATCGTCTCCATTACAATAAATGTTCAAATTGAAATAGTTATTACAACAATAAATTGTTCAAATTAACATGAGAGTCTATCTCCCATAGAGTTATCACTGATGCTCAATGAGATTTTCTTGGAGCTGGTAGTGTGAACCACTATTCTCAATCTTCCGGCACGTGTCAAGAAACGTAGTAATCTCATCTGCGCCCCTTGCAGGCATCACACGGCTACCAACATTGTCATAATGAAACTCTAAGTTCAAATCCCTCTCATCCTTGATAATCATGTTGTGTAAAATTACACAAGCAATCATGATGCTTCTGAGGAATTTTTTTTATCCCAGAAGCGAGCGGGACCTTGAACAATGGCAAACCGAACTTGAAACACATCAAATGCCCTCTCAATATCCTTTGGGCATGCTTCTTGTGCTTCGGCAAAGTTTTTGTGCTTCTTCATTTTTGGGGTCACTAATGGTCTTCACAAATGTTGCCCATGGAGGATAAATACCGTCGGCAAGATAGTACCCCATGGTATAGTCATGGCCATTGACTGTATAGTTGCAAGCTAGAGGTTTTCCACTAGCTAGCTAGGCAAAAAGATGAGAATGCTGCAAGACATTGATATCATTGAGAAACCCCGGCAAACCAAAGAAACAATGCCATATCCATAGTGTTGGGTAACGTAGCAGAAATTCAAAATTTTCCTACGTGTCACCAAGATCTATCTATGGAGAAACCAACAACGAGGGAAGGAGAGTGCATCTACATACCCTTGTAGATCGCTAAGCGGAAGCGTTCAAGAGAACGGGGTTGAAGGAGTCGTACTCGTCGTGGTCCAAATCACCGGAGATCCTAGTGCCGAACGGACGGCACCTCCACGTTCAACACACGTACAGCCCGACGACGTCTCCCATGCCTTGATCCAGCAAGGAGAGAGGGAGAGGTTGAGGAAGACTCCGTCCAACAGCAGCACAACGGCGGGGTGGTGGTGGAGGAGCGTGGTGATCCAGCAGGGCTTCGCCAAGCACCACGAGATATGAGGAGAAAGAGAGGGGTAGGGCTGCGCCAAGAAGGAGAGGAACTCGTGTGTATTGGGCAGCCCAAACCTCAAGTATATATAGGGGAAGGGGAGGGGCTGCGCCCCCACCTAGGGTTCCCTCCCTAGGGGTGGCGGCAGCCCCCAGATCCCATCTGGGTGGCGGCCACAAGGGGGAGAGGGGGAGGCGCACCTGGGGTGGGCCTTAGGGCCCATCTGCCTTAGGGTTTGCCCCCTTCCCCTCTTGGAGGCGCCTTGGGCCTTGGGGGGGGGGGGCGCACCAGCCCACCTGGGGCTGGTCTCCTCCCACACTTGGCCCATGCAGCCCTCCGGGGCTTGTGGCCCCACTTGGTGGACCCCCGGGACCCTCCCGGTGGTCCCGGTACGTTACCGATAAAACCCGAAACTTTTCCGGCGACCAAAACAGGACTTCCCATATATAAATCTTTACCTCCGGACCATTCCGGAACTCCTCGTGACGTCCGGGACTCCGAACAACATTCGGTAACCACGTATATCTTTTCCCTATAACCCTGGCGTCATCGAACCTTAAGTGTGTAGACCCTACGGGTTCGGGAACCATGCAGACATGACCGAGACGTTCTCCGGTCAATAACCAACAGCGGGATCTGGATACCCATGTTGGCTCCCACATGCTCCACGATGATCTAATCGGATGAACCACGATGTCAAGGACTTAATCAATCCCGTATACAATTCCCTTTGTCTATCGGTACGATACTTGCCCGAGATTCGATCGCCGGTATCCCGATACCTTGTTCAATCTCGTTACCAGCAAGTCTCTTTACTCGTTTCGTAACACATCATCCCGTGATCAACTCCTTGATCACATTGTGCACATTATGATGATGTCCTACCGAGTGGGCCCAGAGTTACCTCTCCGTTTACACGGAGTGACAAATCCCAGCCTCGATTCGTGCCAACCCAACAGACACTTTCGGAGATACCTGTAGTGTACCTTTATAGCCACCCAGTTACGTTGTGACGTTTGGTACACCCAAAGCACTCCTACGGTATCCGGGAGTTGCACAAACTCATGGTCTAAGGAAATGATACTTGACATCAGAAAATCTTTAGCATACGAACTACATGATCTTGTGCTAGGCTTAGGATTGGGTCTTGTCCATCACATCATTCTCCTAGTGATGTGATCCCGTTATCAACGACATCCAATGTCCATGGTCAGGAAACCGTAACCATCTATTGATCAACGAGCTAGTCAACTAGAGGCTTACTAGGGACATGGTGTTGTCTATGTATCCACACATGTATCTGAGTTTCCTATCAATACAATTCTAGCATGGATAATAAATGATTATCATGAACAAGGAAATATAATAATAACCAATTTATTATTGCCTCTAGGGCATATTTCCAACAGTCTCCCACTTGCACTAGAGTCAATAATCCAGTTCACATCGATATGTGATTAACACTCAAGGTCACATCCCATGTGACTAACACCCAAAGAGTTCTGGGTTTGATCATGTTATGCTTGTGTGAGAGGTTTCAGTCAACGGGTCTGCAACATTCAGATCCGTGTGTGCTTTACAAATCTCTATGTCATCTCCTAGATGCAGCTACCACGTTCTATTTGGAGCTATTCCAAATAACTGTTCTACTATACGAATCCAGTTTACTACTCAGAATAATCTGGATTAGTGTCAAAGTTTGCATCGGCGTAACCCTTTACGGCGAACTCTTTTACCACCTCCATAATCGAGAAAATTCCTTAGTCCACTAGTTACTAAGGATAACTTTGACCGCTGTCTTGTGATCCATTCTTGGATCACTCTTGTACCCCTTGACTGACTCATGGCAAGGCACACTTCAGGTGCGGTACACAGCATAGCATACTGTAGAGCCTACGTCTAAAGCATAGGGGATGACCTTCGTCCTTTCTCTCTATTCTGCCGCGGTCAGGTTTCGAGTCTTACTCAATGTTCACACCTTATAACACAACCAAGAACTCCTTCTTTGCCGATCCATTTTGAACTCCTTCAAAATCTTGTCACGGTATGTATTCATTTGAAAGTACTATTAAGTGTTTTGATCTATTCTTATAGATCTTAATGCTCAATACTCAAGTAGCCTAATCCAGGTTTTCAATTGAAAAACACTTTTCAAATAACTCTGCATGCTTTCCAGAAATTCTACATCATTTCTGATCAACAATATGTTAACAACATATACTCATCGGAAATACAAGTTTCTCATAAACTTTGTATACACCCAAAATCTTTGATCATCTCATCAAAGCATACATTCCAACTCCGAGATGCTTACTCCAGTCCTTAGAAGGATTGTTGGAGCTTTGCATACTTGTTAGCATCTTTCAGGATTGACAAAACCTTTCGGTTGTATCACATACAACCTTTCCTCAAGAAAATTGTCGAGGAAACAATGTTTTGACATCCTATCTGCAAGATTTCATGAATAATGCAGTAATCGCTAATATAATTCCAACAGACTCTTAGCATCGCTATGAGTGAGAAAGTCTCATCGTAGTTAACTCCTTGAACTTGTCGGAAAACATCTTAATGACAAGTCGAGCTTTCTTAATGGTGATACTTACCATCATTGTCCGTCTTCCTTTTAAAATCCATATGTACCTAACAGCCTTACGACCATCAAGTAGTTCTTCCAAAGTCTACACTTTGTTTTCATATATGGATCCTCTCTCGGATTATATGGCCTCGAGCCATTTTGGAATCCAGGCCCACCATCGCTTCTCCATAGCTCGTAGGTTCATTGTTGTCTAGCAACATGACTTCCAAGACAGGATTACGTACCACTCTGAAGTAGTACGCATCCTTGTCATCCCACGAGGTTTGGTAGTGACTTGATCTGAAGTTTCATGATCACTATCATAAGCTTCCACTTCAATTG